AAGCTTGGCAACCCTAAACCCTAAACCCTAAACCCATCCCCCCTCCACCCCACGCCCCTAAACCCTATGCTCCCCCCCGGTCTCCCACTCCCGCCCTTTTTCCCACCCATTCTATGAGCTCCACGAGGATAGGAGCAACAGCCGAGGTGACTGCGCGATAGCGTTCACAAGTACTATTGTTATTAGCATTGCAGTATTCCAAAAGGGCGTAACGATAACAAAGCTACTTTGCTGGCATTGGTAGCTCCGTCGCTGCCATTAAGACATTCTCGGACAAGGGCTTCAACCCCTATGCAAGAGACGTGTGCTCGCAATTTGCGTGCATCTGTATGTCATATCATCCGTATGTCAGCGGCATCTGTAGACATAAACATGTATGTGTGCATGCCAATGGTGATTGAAGATCAAGATCACGCAAAGGCTATATCATAGGCGCATCAGCTCATGTTCTCAAACCCAAACCCCTAATCCCTAAACCCAAACCCTAAACCCCTAGGTAATCCCTAAACTCAAGCCATAAACCCTAAACCCGAATCTGCAGCCAGGAAGCACTTCGCGCACAGACACGCGAGGTAGCGGAGCCTTGCTTGCCCAAAAATGTCCCACTAAAAGTTTACTCTGAGTCTTAGGGTGTAGGGTCTAGGGTTTGGGGTTTAGGGTTTGGGGTTTAGGGTTTACGGGAACCAAAACAAGTAATGAAAGTTTACCTGAAACTCCATTGAGATGACATGAATGGAGGAACCAAAACATGTTAAAAACTGCAACACTTGCAGTCAAGCAAGAAAACTCCATCCTCAAACCTCAAACCCTATAGGTCCCTACAGTCCCCTTTAATGATCTGCCAAAAAATATAGCAGGGTCCCCACTAGCTTATGTAATCCTATGTAGCACTACACAATCCTATATATATATATATATAGATTCCTTTACAACCCTAAAGCGCCCCAGATAACCCTGTCAAACCACATAAACCCCTACAAATCCTTAAAGACCTTTAGAAATCCCGGGAAATCCCTCAAAACTGCCCATAAATCCCGATGAAGTTATGTTAAAGCCCTAAACCCTAAACCCGAAACCCTACCCAGGAGCCTGGGGCCCGGAGCCGGACGCGTCGCTCGCGGCGCCAAAGAAGAGGCGAGCCACGGAGGATGAGACGCCGAGCCCCTCCAAGGCGCCCCAGCAGCCCAAACTAAGGCCTAAGAGACGAGATTAGGGGTTTAGGGTTTAGGATTTAGGGGATTTAGGATTTAGGATTTAGCGGTTGAGGGTTTAGGGTTCAGAAAAAATGGAGGAGAAAATGGAAACTACTATATTGGGTTACATAGGGACTACTACAATGATCCTTCATTCCTAGCTAACCAAAGGTAAGATTGGGAGTGTTAGGGGGGCAAATCCGTGGAGATTCTTCATTTAGTGGAGATGATGGCTGCCCAGGATGCCTTTTTGAGCCTAGACCCGTTATGCACCTTAACTTAGCACTCCTACACTCCTACTAGAAGTTAACCTTTAGGTACCTGAAATAGGAATACAGGGGAACCCCAAAAGAGGGCCTAAGGTCCTAGCTAAGTGCCCTAAACCCTAAACCCTAAACCTGTTACAGTACAAAACAAGCCCAGATTCCCCAGCAGCAGCTGAAAACGCCACTCCAAAGCGCGAACATAAGCAGGAGGAATGCAGACCAGAAGGGACTCCATGAATCCACACCACCTGGCTTGCTACTAAGGAGCTTAAACTAAGTTACCATACTGTGGATATAATACCCCTTAAGTAGATAGAATCTGGCTTTGGGTAGGTATACTATAATAAGACCCCCCATATACCGCATATTCCATCTACTTAAAGGGGACTACATGTAGATATATAGCAACTCACAGGGTTTCCTTACTGCAGTAACTCCTCAACCGCAACAGAGCCACATGTCTGCCACCACCTTAGCTGCTTGCTCGAAGCCCTTTCCTGACTCCAAACCCTTCTTGCCATAGGCTTCCAACTAGAACCCGAAACCCCTAAAGCCTTAAATAATAGTAATAGTAGTAATCATAGTAGTAGTCATCGTAGTAATAGCAGTACCAAAACCCTAAACCCTTTTGCCTAAACCCTGAACCCTAAACCCTAAACCAAATAATAGTATTAAACCTCTAGGCCAAGATGCCCAATACCAAAGAAGCAGAAGATGACCCCTGCAGCAAAGAGGAGCACGTAAATGCAGAAGACGACGTCGTACAAGACGATAGTGCTAGCCTCGGCTCTAGTGAGGGTTTAGGGTTTAGGGTTTAGAGTTTAGGGTTTAGTGGAGGATTCAAATGCGCTATAATGGAAGGTCAGATGGAAAATAGAATGGATAATGAAATCGAAGCTGGGATTATATAGGGGATTTAGGGGTGATAGTCTAAACTCCTAGTATCCCCCTTACTAAGCCCTATAATACTCCCCTATATACTCTCAAGAAAAACCCCCTTTTAGGAGTAAGACTAGAGCTCAAATGGAAAAGAACATCCGAAATGGACTGGACACTGCGAAAAAAGAGCGATTTAGGGATCAAGGCTAGGTGGGCATATTACGAAAAACCCATGTGATTGACAAGGAGAAGTATAAGAGACTATATGAAATGACCTGGCTACAACACTGGGTTGTGACAACCGAAGCTCAGGTGTGCCCTTGCATGCAGCCTTTAAGGTTTAGGGTTTAGGATTCATTCAAATTGCCTCCTGGAGCATTGCCCTTGCTCCACCTTCATCTGCAGATCGCAGAGCCGCCACAAGCCTCCACTGCATGTAAAAGGCGAACGCACAGTTGGTCCTCAGATCGTCCACTCAGCATAGGTAGTTGAAAAGGATGCGCACATTGGATTCTGAAATCTGAAAGCCTCTCTCCAACCATAAAACCCTAAACCCAAAAGCCTAGAACCCTAAGACTATAAGACACTGACACTGAAACCCTCAAACCCTAAACACCCTAAAACCCCAAGAACTCAAAGACCCTGAAACCCTCCAATTAGGGAGCAGTCAAACCAAGCACTATGGCGCCATTGCAGAAGCTTGATACCTGGGAGCCGGTGCAAACACAGGGTTTAGGGTTCAGGGTTTAGGGTTTAGGGCTCAGGGTTTTGGGTTTAAGGTTTAGGGTTCAGGGTTTTGGGTTTAAGGTTTAGGGTTTAGGGTTTAAGGTTCAGGGTTTAGGGTTCAGAGTTTGCTGTGATGTTGCCGTGCAGGATGTGATGATTAGGTGTCAATGATCCTTCAAGTGCATGGCTGCATGCGAGGTGCTGCCATGGCCTGACTGTAGAAGGCAATCCAACAGAATCACCCACCCCACGCCGTCTGAGGCAGCCCAACCACGCAAACCTATTCCTTTTAGGGTTTAGGACCTAAACTCAGTTAGGTCTATGTTGGCCAACAACACCTCTTCATTTCGATGCTAGGCTGTCTTTCAACATTTCTAGGACCAAGAGCTGGGAGAAATGTCTGCTATGAGATTTGAGAGGCCTTGGAAGGTCTAGGAGGCCCTGGAATTCTGGGAAGCCTGGAAGGAAGCCTTGGAAGGAGGGGCTGGAAGGGAACTTGGAGGCCGGAGGCCCCTGGCAGTTAGGTCCATCTTTGCCAACAACACCTTTTCATTTTGATGTTAGGCTGTCAAGCATTTCTATAGCCAAGAGCCGGGAGGGATGTTTGCTGTGAGATTGGAGTAACTCCTGTTTTGGGCTGTTTTTGGGGCTGGAAAATTTTGAGCCGCTGTCCCCCTCCTCCAGGCTCTCAGGCCCCCTGGTCCCGACATTCGCTCGCAGAGGAGAGCCTGCACAGCACCCTAGGAGGGGCCCTGGTGCACGAAGGGTTTTTGCATCAGAAACAATCACCTTATAAGGGGACCAGTTCTGGTCCCATGATGGAGAACGGGGCCCGGTACCGGGCGTGTCGTGGATGCTACCGTACCCGTGGCTGTGCTGAGGCAGAACCAGCTAGGTCAGCCTGGCTAAAGGATCCAGGGGGCATAGGCGCCGCCCACCATCGTAGGTGGGCGGCCTAAGCCTTGAGGGGATCTGGGTTTGAGGTTTTGGGTTTAGGGTCTAAATACCCAAATGCACGGAAATCAAATGGAAAATGCCATGGAAGCTGGGAGTATATAGTGGTTTATAGTGTTTAGGGTTTCTGCCTTCTTGGGGAGGCCTCAAAACAAGGATTACTTACGGAAGCTACCAGATGACCTTGGACAATAGGGAATCAAATTGAAAACAACATGGAGAATGAAATGGAAACCTTGAGTCGCTCTCAAGGAGTTATAGGGAAATAGAGGGAACTATATATCTAAGTTTGGAGGCCCTACAAACAATCAGGTTTTATGCCTTTACACGGATTACCTAGGAATCAAGGGTAACAAAATTTCAAAAACATGCTCGAAACCCTAACTAAACCCAAACCCTAAACCCTAAACCGCGCCCCTGATGTAGGGACGAGGGCGTAATGAGGAGTACTTCAAAGTTCGTGTCGAGGCTTGGTGACCCATGGCTGTGGCAACAATAGGGTTTTGGGTAGTTTAGGGTGTAGGGTTTTATGGGGCTATACGGCCTAAAAATTGTGGCTTATACCGCTGCTTCTGAATTTCTGCCACATGACATACTTTCTAATTCCCTAAGCCAAGAATCCCTGTATAGCACCGCTAGAAACCCAATTTAACCAAGCTACTTAAACTCCTTGCAGGGGGTCATCTAGGGATTATGTAGGGGAGTATTGTAGGGGTTACTCAGGGGAATACTAGGAGTTTCGACTGTGGCTCATATATAGTATGTAATTAGCCTCTAGCATGAGAACTTAATCCCGTTAGCCTCTAAGTAGCGGAGCGATGGTTCGGCTCTATCAGATGTCAGCTGAGGGGTCTTTGCTTGTGTTGAGCCATTTAAGACTGCCTGCTTCTTAGTTGAACCAAGTTGGGTTTTAGGGTTTAGGGTACATGAAAGATTGTATTCTTCTTATCAAAGACCATGCCAAAACAGAGGTCCTAATCTTACTCTGCCTTAACCCCAAACCCTAAACCCTGTATTGTTAACTCAAATATCCCCAAAGGAAACACTATCCAGCTGGCACCTTGCAAGACACTCCTATCACCGCGCCAGCCTGTGTGAGAGCGCTGGTCCATGTCCACTACGCCCTTAATTCTGAACCTATTGTCCTCCTGAAGTAGATAGAATATGGGGTACATGGGGATCTTATTACAATATACCCAAAGCCATAGTCTATCTACTTAAGCGGGACTATAAGATCACCAAGTCGCAGGAGCGGAGGTACAGTTGCGTACTTGGCTGTCTGTGGAGCTGTGGTATGCCTTAGCTTGCCGAAGGGCTCTGGCCCAATGTAAGGCGTAAATAGGGTTTAGGGTTAGGGTTTAGGGTTCAGGGTTTAGGGTTTTTGCCGGAACTTCTCGCCGGTCCCTCCATTGCAGGTGAGAGTCCAAAACAGCGGCTGGAAGATTGGTGCTAAAGGCCTGCACGCAATGCTCCATGCCGTCAACTTTCCCATTTGAGCTGTAGTCTAAACTCCTAGTATCCCCCTTAATAACCCCTATAGAGCTCCCCTGTATAATCCCCTATATATAACCCTCTTTAAGGACTTTAGACTATAGCCCATTTCCTCAAAAACTCAGCCCCTGGCAGCCATGACAAAGCACCCCAAGGGTCTGTTGCACACGTTTACCAAGGGCTGGCAGCATGCCCTCAGCAAACAGGCTTAGGGTTTAAGATTTGGTAGTGTCCCTACGAAAGGGGGACCCCAATATAGACTCCAAAACACTATAGTCCTTACTATGAGGACCCCCAAACTGGTACCCCTAATTTTGGGTAACTCGCATTTGCGGCTTAGGGCTTAAGAAAACAGCCACAGAGCTTGCATGAGAAAGGTGTCCTGCTGGCCCTGCTTTACTGAAGACACTTAAGTTACGTAAGTTGCCATAATGGGCATATACAGTAATGAATATGGTTTCCCGAACATAGTAATTCAAATTTAGCTCCTCAAATCCCTATATTCCCCCAGTTTCCATTTCATGTTCCATGTTCTTTTCCATTTGATTCAAGTGCCCGCCATGCTCAGAGCTCACTCGAGCTGCGTTCCATTCCAATTGCAAGGCAGTGCTCGGAGTTGTTTCTGCTACTACCCAAAATTAGGGGTACCTTCTTTGGGGGGGTCCCAATAATAAGGATTATACTATTTTGGGGTCTATATTGGGGTCCCCCTATTCCGGGAAACTACCATGTAACCCCAGTTTCCATTTCATGCTCCAATTCCTTTTCCATTTGATTCTCCATTATTGGGGTAGTAAGCCTGAACCCTATATAATACCTATAACCCTGTATAATCCATATAGAGTTGCAGCCTGACTCTCACCAGCACACTTCCTACTAGGGTTCTGAAACCGTTTCCTGCATACTCCGTACCTGGGACCCCATAATCTCCCTACATAGCCCTCACACAACCTTAAGGTCTGTAGGGGACCCCTGCCTTGGGGCTATGAGTCTAAACCCTAAACTCTACGTGAGCCATTGTCTAAACTCCAGTATCCCGCTTAATATCCCCTATAGTAGGCCCCTATATAATCCCTTATACAACCCCGTTTAAGGAGATTAGACTACAGCTCACATGCAGCTCGAGAGCTCAGCACATTCTGGCACTGACGAGCAAGCTCGGCCGCAAGCACTGCAGAGACCTCCGCAGCAGCGACAGCAGGTGGGATAGCGGTTTAGGGTTTAGGAAGTAGGATTTAGGGTCTAGGGTTTAGGGTTAATATGCGCAGACATAGCTGGCTGTGTACACGTATGTATGCACGCGTAATTACAGACGAATATGTATGTGTATGTGTATATATATATATAAATACACGCATATGTGCAGGTTGTGTATCTGCAGGTACGTACACATCTACCTATCTACTCATCCATTCGTCCATCCGCCCATCCATCTATGACCAGGGTGCATGGACCTTCTAATCGCTTCAGTTTGTTTACCACGTGGCACTTAGGACCCCTACTACGGGTTCACTTTTAGGTACCTATGATAAGAGTATAAAGGAATCCCAAAGGGTGAAGGGTCTAAGGTCGGAGCGAAGTCGCATGTATTTTTAACATGTACAACTTAGGTGGACCCCCCCACCCAGTCCTAGTGACTATAAGGGATAATAGGGATTATATTAGGGTCCTCTTATATTCCTATTATACCACTATTACAGGGTGGGGTCCTCCTAATGTAAAACCCTAGCTGAATTTGAATAACCTGCAACCGGGTACCCACCTCCATCTACCAATAGCCAATGCCCCCAATAATAACCCCCCAATTACGATAGCAATAAAATGCATGTATCTACGATAGAATGTTTGGTGTTGCCGGGCGTGGGGGTTTGTTACTGGGGACGGTATTTAAAAGTTGTTTCCAATTCCTGGCGTCCTCCCAGTTGTATTGAGCCCTCTCGCATCGGAATGTGCGTGCCCGCGTGAACTTACATGGAACGCCATTCGAACTCCATCTGCTGAACTTTGCATTCCAAGAGGTCCAATTCACACGCAGCTCAATGGACTCTGAATGTTGTCATAGAAATACAGGTTAAACATGAACTAATGAGAGAGCCCCATGCACTGCATTGCATACAGAAATGTGCGCATGTGCAAGCACAGGTAGCTGTCATGCTTACATGGCTCAACCAAGAATACCTTGCAATCTACCAAAAGCATCTTGCACACTCCACGTGCCTGAGGAAAGTCTGCCAGTCGCTTCAAAACATGGGAGCATCGTCAAGCAGCCCGGCCAACCGCAAAGCTTGTAGTCTGTAAGCTTGCTGGAGCTCTTTTAGCAATGAGGTCTGGGCCCGTGCTCCAAGCTACAAAGTGGCGATGTTTGAGATAGGCAAACGGCAAACGGCTATGGCAGGGCAGGGTAATCTCGTCTAAGACCGTCGTGGTTCGGCGCTGCAGACGACCGAGCACCGTGAAAGTATCATGTACTGCACTGCGCAGGCCTCCAACTCGCTATTGAGGATACGCTTCGGGAGCACTGGGGCCTAAGCAGATG